AGTAAAATGGAAGATAGGGGACGTGTATGAGGGTTTTTTCTCAGAGTCTGCAGTTTTATAAAGCGGTTATTGCACAGAACTTTATATAATAAATCTGAAATGCAACTGAATAATATTATCCATATTAAGTGGGATAAAAGCTTTATTTTGCTGGGATGCGAATTTTTTGTTGGTAAGAAAACAGTAATGTTTGTTATCTCTTTTTCTTTTTTTTTTATTTCTCCTATTTTTAGTGACATAAAAAACACTCGCATTCTGACTTTTCAATTCTTCCTTAACTTATTTTGAGATTCATCCTATTACTTGAACGCTAACATGAATTAGCATTTTTGTAGTGAAAAATGCTAGTATATTAGCTTTACTCCAAAAGAGAGTTTAATTATTATCGGCTTACATAACGTCGTATACATTAAAAAAAATTCTAAACTTCAAATTTTAGAATCAAAACATTTTCTCCGTGTTTCCAATTCGAGAATGTTATACCAAAATTAAATTATTGATACAGAAAAAATAAAAATACTGGATGGTTTACGTAACATTCCGACCTTCCGATTATACAGCTCATAATGAAAACAAATATATAATTATATTTACATCAAATTCAAATCTAGCAATAAATCATGAATTCACAATTTAGAATTTTACTAGATAGCTCTCAATAAGGTACTTTAAAATAATGTTAAGTTTCTCTGAACTTTGCCAGTCGTCTAACAGTTCTTCCACTTTGTTTTATCTGATGGCAGATTCTTCTTAAATTATTCTTACGTTCTACACTTAAAGTTTCATCAGAACTCATATCTGTAGAATAGGACCTAATTTCCAAAAGAGAAGTTCTTTAATCTCACTCCCTGAAGTCTTTAATCGCACAACACGAATGTTCTCGTCTTTTCCCGGATATATTTCAACAACTTTTGTTGGAGACCAGAGAATTCTGTATGAATCACTCTCTGTCAGAGCAACATCACCTACTTTTAAATTATAGTAAAATTATAGTTCGCACTAAGAACAGGCTCTTTGTTCTCTTTGTTTACATGTGAGCAGTATTTATTCACAGATGAAAATTATTAAGAAAAAATTATATTTACCGATGAGCATCTACAATGCGTGATGAAGATAATTTCCAGTAATTTCTCTTTAAAGCTACACACTTTATCAAAAACAAAACGTCATCAAGTAATAGCTATAAACATCTTTTATTTCTTATTGAAGAAATAAAAGAAGTTTATAGCTATTTGCTTTTTATGTTTGCATTTTTATTTGTGCGTCGAAGAAAATTTAACAAATAAAAAAAGGAGATTAAGTTGTCATTATTTATTCTTGAGTTTCGTAATACTTGGAAAATTTTCTCTTAAACTTTAAGAAAGTTTTTATAATTTCTTTCAGTTTAAATTAAAGTAAATTATTTAATGTTTAATTAAACAAGTTAAAGCTATTTAACGATACTCTGAAAATAAATTATGCATACAAATGAAAAAAAGGAAAATAATGAATATTTAAATAAACGTTAATCTGAAAATTTAATATTTAGTTGTTAATATATTTGACTTACAAACCGTAACCACAAAAATTTCTTTCAAGTTCTAGAATTTTGATTTCAAACAGCAAATAAATATAAGTTTGCATATTTTTCTTTCCAATATTATTATTACTTTTTATGTATGTTTTGAAAAATACTTAATAAGTGAAATTTAAAATTTAGTTAAAATGTTTCTTATTTTGTTATTTATTTTTTTAATAAAAAAATTCTGGCACATCACCTGTTTTAAGACCGTACATGCGTCCCAGGGGCAATTAGAGTTTCAGATTACTGGTATAAGCTGTTTTAACAGTAACTCAATACCACACGTTTCGTCCGAAATGATCCGCTGACTTTGTAGAGTTTAATATTCTTTGCTTACACACTCTTTGCTTACACACACTGCATCTAGATCTGTTTGAAAGTCTGTGTTGCTACTTCTTGCAAAGACTAGAAAATAAATACAACAGGGGAGTGACTTAAAAGACCCTTTTATTTAACACAATTATTTACAGACAGCAGGACAAACGTGTTTACCATTTTACCAGCCATTGTGGTGAGAAACTTAAAGATAATGTAGCAAACTGTATTTAAAGCTAACTACTAGCGCAAAGCTACACAAATTAATTTAACCTAGTAGGTAAAACCTACACCGGCGAGATACTAATTTCGGTGGCAAGACTGCTAAGCCGAGATTCAAAATTCAAACAGCTGATAGCAGTAGCAGCGTGCGCACTCAATAACGAAAACACGTTCTGACTAATCTTTTCGCTACTTCAATTTAAATCCACTCTCGTACACTCATTTAATACCTAGAGGCGAGGAAACGCAAGGGAAATAAGGAAAAATAGGAAACGTTGAAAAATTATTAATAGAAACCCTACAGTTTTCTCAGCCAGAGTTTAACTATCGCCACTAAAATGTCTTTAATGACCTTGATAAAGGTAATTAAATTCTAACTCTAACCCTCAGTCAACCTTCACAAATTTTAAGTCTTAAAATTTCTGAACTAGTTTTTACAGAATAAATACCGTAGCTTTTCCATTACATACGCAGCATTCTTCTTTTTCCTGTCTCCTTCCAGACCTTTGGCATAAAAATAGTTTAGAGCAAGTCTAATACAACATATTCACTTAGCTTTGAAAGATTTTACACAAATAGATTTATTTTCATTTAACATCATATGGAACAACTTGTTTTCACCGCATTCATTCCAAATTTTAAATCTTCCCTTGCAAGGTGTGCTGAAAAGAGAGCGTGAGTTCATGAAGCATGTTCAACACTACCACCTGATCGAAACAGCCTACGTGTTACAATTTTGACATACCTGACCTCAGAAACACACCCTACAGCTTTAAAGTCCCTTTTTCTTGCCAAATGATCCGGTTTTTTTATCCTTTTACACTCTCACATAAACACGTTTCTTTTTATCCGTTTTCATTTCCCGCGTGAAGAAGAAAACTCAGTTTAATATTCCAAGCTTCAATGTTGCTCTTTCATTTATGTTAAGCTTTTCTAATGCACTTTAGTTCAAAGTTTGGTTTCTAATGCACTTTAGTTCATAACTGATCAATTAAAAAGTCCCTTTTTACATAAATTGTAAGACGCGCTAGTTGCCGCCCAGACGACAAAGCGGTTAGTGATTCTAACTGCCTTAAAGGGCCCCAAAGGTTCGACACCCAAAGAAGGCATGAGGTAAATGCCTTCATAAGAGGCAATAGTGGTCACTTATTAGGTGCCTCCATAATAAAGTGACCACAGTTTCAGGCCTTAGAAATGGACAATGCCTGCGTGCGATCTATATGATCAAAGTTTTTTTCATGTAGTCAAAATAGTAACAAGATTTCAGCTGTATTTTTTCTCTTAATCCGTATTTGTAAATCAAAATATATCAATTTTCAATTGTTTTCGGATCTCATATAATATATTAATCAATTTATGAGGAATGTTTAGATGGACGTCCGTTAATGAAAAAAGGCGAAAGAGCTAGCATAAAACGATAGCTTTGTAAAAAAGGAGGGGGTTATCTAATTATCATTAATTATTTACATATTATTAATGTACATATAACATGCTTTTGAGAAAGAATAAAAAAGGGTTTGAAGTTAGCTCAGTACTCTGAAATTTTTAAATGCAGTTAAATACAGATGTCAAATGCGACTTATACTTAACGAAAATTACAGTCAGCTTGTCAGGACTTGTGTTTCTTTTGATTTGCTTTGGAAACATGAATGATCCTGAATAGGAACAGGGAGCTTACTCAAGCTATGTTCAGGAAGGTGTGAAGTAGACAACACAAGCAGGAAGGGTATACGAAACCCTTTATTTTCAATCTTTTACAGGATCTTCCGAACTTCGGAATGCAAAGAACAACCACTTGTGGTCTGAACGTAAGAATATAAAAACTACTAACTAAGACTCTAACTAAAAGCTAACTTTGAATTAGTATACAAATGCCTTGCACTAAGACTGGCCTTTATTTAAAAAAGGTACGTATGTAGTACGCAGAGCTGCTTAAACTACAAAACGTTTGCAAATTGCAAGAACTTATCTTGAATTTGCATATTTGGCCTTCAGACTTTTTTTTCTGTCCAAAACAACAAGTAACTTGTTGCCTTAAAAGGCAACCAGCAACCGAGTGGAAACTCGTAAAACTACAGTGACAAGCGGCTTGCTTCCTAAAACTCCTTCTCTCTCTCTCGCTTGGCAAAAAGCCACCACTTAAGTACTTGGGCGTTAGCAAGACAATTTGCATAAACAAGTTAAAGCATTGAATTCTGGCCGGAAGTAGAAAATAAGAAGTGATACTACAGTTTTAAAATAAAATAAACGTTAGTAAAACTTAGGATCCTTGCAAGCTCACTAAAATTACATCTAATTGATGACAAAGAAAATATTAATAATACGGGACAAAATTTTAGCTTTTAAATTTAGTTTCGACATCATTTCAACGAACACAATGACAGTGCTTCTTGTGAGGCAAAATTGTACCAAAGTGTATTTCATTATTCGAGTTTAAAACTATCTGTCGCAGTTCCTAGATTATCATAGGACACTTGCATTTGAAATCTCCAGAAGCTTTCCTTCAGGTATTTCAAGACTGAAAAGCGTCGAATTTTCAGGTTTCACGACATTTTACTTCATGTCCTTCTGAGATAAACACTATTTAACTAAGTGATTTGTAGCAGCGAATATTAAAATATTATTTTTGAGAGAATAATTTGTTAAAATCTGTAATTTTTAAGTTTATATTAAAATTTTCTACTTGTTGACTTCAAAATCATGAAGGAAAGCTCATTTCTTAAATGTTGTATCACAAAATTGCTCGGCTATCAGATAGTACGTAATGTTCTGCTATGTAATGTTATGGGTAATAATATCCTGTAGAATTTGTTATCATCTAATAGAATTTTTTTAATTAATTATTTTGATACTATAATTCTTTAAGTTACCATATTTATATACTTATTTTAATTTTTTTCAGGTAGTCGGTATTTAACATTTCCTTGGGGAATCCTTCATATAAGAAATGTGGATGCAAGCTTTTCCTATAGGAATTACAAATGTCAAACACGAAACAGGTTAACGGGAGAAGTGGTCGAAAGCTCATCATCCGGCAGGCTCATTGTAACTGGTAAGTCACACTTACGGGTGTTTTTATGGCCCTTAGCATTTTCAGGATTGCTTATTTGAAACTTGAAAAGATGAAGGCGTGTAAGTTTTTAAGCATTCAGAATGCAAGATTTTCAGCTGCGTTCTTTTATATTTTCAAATGATTTTAAAACATGACAGCTGTGAGTTATTGTTTTTAAAGATACGAGAGAATAAATTGAAGATGAATATGATTAGGTAATTGAAAGACTTGTCTCAAATTAACAGCTTGAAATTAAAAGCTACGCAGTGGAATAAGCTATAGAATTTTTATAATTTTTTACTGTGTACAGCGTGTAGACCTCAAGTGAAGAAACCATGTCGATTCCTTTGAGAAATCATTATAATTTTAATCACTACAATTCCTTGCGTACATTCCCTAATAGAAAATTTTACACAATCATTACATTCCCCCCAAGCGTGCTGTCCTAGTGCAAGCGGTATTCATGTCCAACTAACAAACATTGGAAGTCTACGTTCGAAGTTGGAATCTTGGAGATGGCACAATTGATTTCTTATGTTTCCTCTCTCAAAAAAAGTATTTGTAAAATATAAATTTTTAGGCTGTAAACTCTCTTAAAAATGGACGTGACTTTAAAACTATCCATAATGATAAAAAGCTTCTTCATGACGTTTGCCTCTCAATTCATAACGACTAGAAATGTTAAAGAAGAAATTGAGTAATTCAGGTAAAATAAGCTATTACGCTAATGGGATGTATGCCTTCGTGGTGGACGTTCTAAGGAAAACTGGCTGGTATACACGTTACACATGGTTAAAACCTGGAAAACCCCATGGAAAACCTGGAAAACCCTGGTCAGCCTGTTCGCCGGGATTCGAATCCCTAACCGAACTACCAGCGAATTTATAGCTCGGCGCTGGTGAGCTTTAATGTCTTTGAAATGAACGGAGATAAACTAGTGTTTCTTTTTCAATTTTCCTATCGGTATAATGTTGAAAAATCGTGTCACTGAACAAAATTTAATTTTAAAATTTTACTCAGAATCATTCATTTTTTTAATAATTTAACTGAAATTTGAATTAATTGTTTGAATTTCTTATAATTCTTATTAGAAGTTGCAAAACAAGATTTCCGCGTTATTCACCAGGACCGAGCGAAAAAAATCCTGAACGCTGGCAGGTCGAACCGATTTGAAATGCTAGTGAATGGGCTTGTTACTTGGGCATTTTTGTTAATTTCCCCTGTAAAGAATGAATAGGAGTTATTTGCCCTTAAAGATCCTCCACGAAGGCACACATTCCCTTAGATAGATAATACACGGGTACTTACCGAGTTCAAATAACCTAATCTAAGCTGTTTAATAGCGCTTTTCGCTCTTCTGCTTTTTTTTTATCAGTTTTGGATTCGAAATAGTGTCTTAAAGTATTTTTCTAGGTATGAAAGTGACAAAGCACTGAGATCTATTCAAAATAACAAATGGTTAATTTATAAGAAACTTAAAAAAGAGAAAATAAGATCAGTGTAAACAAACTGAAATTAAGTCGTATAAAAGTAGGGCTATTAAAAATAAATTTAACTGAGAACTAAATTTTTTAATAATTTGGATTTTCTTTTAAAATTTATTTAAAATATTGCACTCCATTTCATACTGAAGTTCGCCATAACTCCAATAACCTAACGAAAGAACTATTCAAAATTTTTCTTAAATGTATTGACATTTTGATTATTTAAAAAATTACGATCAAAAACAGAAATTTCTGAAAGCTTTCATAAGTTTTTTAAACATTTAGTATCATTATCGAGATTTGTTTTAGCTGCTTTTCTTTCTTTCTTCCCCCTTTTTTTTTTTTTTTTTGCGTTTTTTTTTTTTCTTTTAAAGCACTGAATAAATTTACATAAAAAATTTGGTATAAAAATTAAAAGAATCAGTAAAAAATTAATAGTGATAGACTGCTTATTAAGAGGTATTCACCCCGATAAAATTTTTAAATAATTTAATATTTTACAGAATTTTTTTTTAAGCGAAAGGAATTTATAACTCATGTTGTTATATTATTGGTAGAAATTTTAAAACATTTATATCAAAATTGAATAAAAATATTTTGAGATGTACACCTTATCTTAAGCACAAATTTGTTGCTTTAAGTTTTGCAATTTTTCCATTGCAGAATTTGGTTCCATTAGTGGATTCACTGCGGTAAATCTATCGTCCTAATTAAGCATCTGCTTATCTGCTTCCTACTTTCTTACCTCTTTGCTTATCCTATTCTATCGCCATAACGTAAGTACAACATCAGCAGCTAGCCGAAACCAAAATAATATATTTTTACTTTACCCTTTCTTCTCTGTGAATTTTCACCTTTGTTTAAACACTAAACGACATATATGAATGTCTGGATTTTTTCTGAGAAATATAAGAATGAAATATTACAAATTTGAATTCAAATTGAGCAAAACATAATTGCAAAATTCTAAATTTTTTAACTGCCCCACCCTGAAGCTGCGACTTTGTAGGTATGAGATTTGCTCATGTTGGCAGGGGTTTAATGCAGGTGTGTGCCTTGTGTTGCTATCTCACATTTTGTCTTGAATTACGACAAGAATAGAAGATAATTTTAGTGCGATTGGAAATTTCCACTTTTATTGTGATCATCAAAGTATGAAGGAAAACATCTTAATAGAAATGTTAATTAACCTCGACCATAAAGCCCCAAAAGTCCTAAAAGGATTTATTTGTTTTTTCTTATCTTTATTTGTTAGGAAGTAGACTAGATGACATTTGAAATCTTCACTCTTCTTTGTGCGTTAATAAATGGGGAGGGGAGGAAATTGCTGTGACTCTCGAAAACCTTTTCGGGCGGTTCGGTATTTTATTCATACAGGTTAGCGAAAACTTCGGTTTTCAAAAAGTTAAAGCTATAGGGAATACAAATAAACGAAATTGTAGATTAGCAAAAAGTAACACATGTTAATACCTCATTCTCTTAATTATTAAAAATAGATAAGAGTTACACAGGCACATCCGTAAAAGTAACACATGTTAATACCTCATCTTCTTAATTATTAGAAATCAATAAGAGTTACACAGGCATATCCGTAAAAGTAACACAGGCACATAAGTAAAAGAATTGCTTGTAAGATATATGTCAGCAATGTGACACTGAGATCGAATGCGGATCAGTAAACATAAAACTACTAATGTAATATATAGAGAAGACAAATACTAGTAAATGTAAAACAGATACGATATGTAACAGCAAATATAACTGTTTTAATGTACCTGGCTAGTTACTATTATCTATATTAATTGCTTTTAAATTACTTAGTTTGTTAATTAAAAACAGACAAATTTGAAAGGAAAATTAAATTTCTTACGCTTTCCTGAACGACAACACACTGCCACGTATAAGGTAAAATTATTTTAACTCGGGGAGTGCCAACGCATTTCTTTCGAATCGTTCAGAATGCTTATTCAATTCGAAGATGAATAGAAATAGCTTGAGTTCTGGTGATAAGCAACATACTTCTTTTGTGTTCTGAGTTTTCTGATGAAATTTAAAATACCATTTTCTTATGCGTTGCGGAATGGTAACATAAAACTATTAAATCGCCAAGTGTGTAATCAAAAGTTCATTAAACTCACAAAAAATCTCTATATATAAAGAGTATGGACCCAGTAAGATTGTTTTCCGAAATCGTGTTGTAGACATTGGTATTCGTCTTGTTTTGAAAGTCAAGTGTGCCAAATTTCATCAAAATTGGAAAACAATTGTAGATTTGTATTAAAAAAATAGATATTTTCTTTATGCATACAGATTACGATTTTTTATTTGTAATTATTGGACAAAAATCCAACCATTGATTTAATTCACGAGCGGCAAATTTGCATTTAAAATCCAGAATCATAATTTTCTGATAGCTGCGTGTATCGAAATCCTTGTTTATCAGTTAATAATCAGCATTCACCTGCAAAATTTATTAATATTCTAAATAACAACTTCATAAAAGCTAACTCTAATGAATTTAGATAAACTTCATAATATGTGTATAATTGATTATTAAAACAATTTCTTTATAATCTGATCACACATCAAACAGTCACTTCTGTGTTACTTTATTTAATTCATCTTTAATCTTCACCGAAAACAATCAATTGCTAAAAATCAATACTTGTTACATTATAAAAGCTTTACCTGTTTAATTAAAATCATACACCAGTTTTAATTTGCAAGCTTCGGGTAAAGAATTGGCAGTCGTTTAGGGAATAAGCTTCCAACGCCACTCTTTACGGATGCATTCAATCGTTTTGAGTAGCTGCAGACATAAATTTGGACTCCCTAAAGCCAGTGAGTACTGAGATAAATTTATGAATTTTGGGAAGCTGTCGTGTTTAATAATTCTTTGGAAGCTACATGTGCAGGCGCCGACGAGTAATATTTGCAAAGCTTGTGTTCTATATTTCAAATTCAGTGCTGGATTCGAATATTGTTTTCGAACAATTTATGAGCAATGCAGAGACTTGAGGAATGGTTCAGAATGAGTAATTTCGAATGTGTAGAAGGCTTTGAATAATTTAATAACTGTATATAAAATGTTATTAAATTCTTCTTCTTCTGGAAGTCTCTTGAGTTGTTGACAAATTTTATTTTTCTCTATTTGAAACTTGAACATTTAATTTACAGAATTAAGACTGCCATTTATATCTTGTAGGATATAATTTTCGAGTTAAAAAAAATAGTTAAATTTCGTAAATTTCAATTGCAGCTGACAATTCTTAAATTTCCTAGGCACACATTTATACTAGAGTCAAAGATTCGGTGCTGTAGATAAAGATAAAAGATTTTTTTGCCATGTGTGTGGAGGGAGGAGGGTGATTTCGAAGTATGAGAATCGAGTTTCTCATTCGTTTCTTTAGATATCATTGAAATATTACAGATAAATAAATAAAAGTTTCAATAGCTCTTAAATTTCTCTGTCCTTATAGCGCACATGTTCTAATGGTTAATATGTGTACTGTATTA